TGGAGTCACTAGACAATAGGAGCTTTTCAGTTCCATTATCATCCACTGCCATACATGCAGTGTGTCATTAACCAAAATATTAACAGGGCATGACCGTCCTTCCCTACTACCTACCTGTGGATGAATAGGACAGACTCCATTAAGGAGGAGGAACCCTTAGGTATCAGATAGCACTGTTTTCTAAACATTCCCCTGTTAATAATGAAGCTGCGAATAAAGTCGAAAAAAAAAAGTTGTAATGAGGTTTAAATTTTTTGTGTGTTTTGCTTACAAAATATATCTCAGAGAAGATTGAACCTTCTGTGTTGTCAACTTTTAGCATTTGCAAAATGCTGGTCCTTTTTCTAAAAAAGCCCATGTCCTTTTCCTTGCCTTCTTTCCAAGTTCTCATTGCACCACAGGATGAGGCGCAAGGGTGGAAATCTATTCCCGGCTTCCTTAACAATCCAAACATATCAAAGAAGGCAAGAGTGAGTATGAGGATCACAGCCAATGGAATTTTTGGCAGAGGAATTTATACTCATCACGGGAGCTCCCTGTTCAATACCCCACTGTGCCCAGCCCACTCCTTTTTATAATCAGTGGTTCCCCTACCACCTAAAATCATTCATCCGGTCCTACCGAATAATTTTCTTTCCTTGCCTGGCAGAGGAACAAAGCCCAGAAGCAAGAAGGAACGCCACTAAAAGGCAGGTCAGACAATGATGCAATTAACACATCGAGACCACATGGCACTTCCGAAAAGTCCATAGCACAAGAGACAGGCTACAGGCTGATTTCTTGACCAAGAAGTAAGAGTCACCACATCAAATTTTTCTTCCTCCAAGGAAAGACAAGCAGGTGTGAATACAATCCCCTCTTAACAGCAGTTAACAGCTTCATACAGAGACTGTAATTAGAATCTAACCGAAAGCCAGTTTGCTGAGCAAGACACAAGGTGTACATCTTCATATATATCTTTTCTTAACCAGTTTCTTCTTCAAAAAAAATTTTTTTTTTAATTTGAAAAGTAGATTTCACAGAATGAGGAGAGATAGCGAGAGAAGGTTTTAGATTCTCTGGTCCACTCCCTCAATGGCCACAATGGCCAGGGCTGAGCCAATCTGAAACCAGGACCCAGGAGCATCTTCTGATCTCCCCCTTGGGTGCAGGGTCTCAAGAACTTGGGCCATCCTCCGCTGCTGGATCAAAACTGGAGCAACCAGACATGAACAGGCACCCATATGGAGAGTCAGAGTCACAGGGCAAAGGATTAGCCTGAGAAGCCACCATGCTTTCCCCTAATCAGCTTCTTTTAAAAGGAATCCATAATGCAGGAAACAAAGTCCACCCACAAAAACACAAAGTCCACAATAAGTCCTAGAGATATAGCTGATTAAATCCAGTCCCCACATATAAAGGTCAAAGCCATTGAGGAAGTAGTCACCAGATCATTCTGTAGACTCCCCCAAGGAGAATCTGTGGATTGATAACTTTGGCTACACATTCAGCAAAGGGAAACGATTTGTCTCATTCTTTTCCCTAGAAGTTCAAGCTCAAGCTGACTAAAGGCTGGGACTCAAACACATGACTTTGGAGGAATTAGAAACCAATAGGACAGACCTTTCAAAGCACAATCTTAATGGAGATTGCAGGTCCTGCACTCAAAATCAATTCAGCTACAAGTCAGAGAACCACATTTCACATTGGCTGCTGTGCTGTCAAGAGAGGGATCCAGTCACAGAAGTTTCTCATTCTGTGTTGCACGAGCACAAGCAACTCTGGCTCTCTTTAATGAATAGTTTCCACTTTGAAATAATGATTACAGTACGATACAGTGGCTTGTAAGTAGCAAATGCCGAAGTTAACGCAAACAACACATCAGTCCCAGATCTCCCACTTTCCCCCCAAAGTAAAAAAGACACCTAAGATAAGTCAATTTATGTGTCACTATGCCTTTTCAAGCTACTTAATGTTCAAGTGATGTCATAGAAACATTACCAAATATTATCCATAAAAAATTTTTTTCTTTTAAAGCACGCAGAAGGGCCCAGCAGGATAACCTAGTGGCTAAAGTCCTCACCTTGCATGCACCAGGATCCCATATGGGTGCCAGTTCTAATCCCGGTGGCCCAACTTCCCATCCAACTCCCTGCTTGTGGCCTGGGAAAGCAGTCAAGGACGGCCCAAAGCTTTGAAACCCTGCACCCACATGGGAGACTTGGAAGAGGCTCCGGGCTCCTGGCTTCAGATTAGCTCAGCTCCGGCCATTGTGGCCACTTGGGGAGTGAATCAACGGATGGAAGATCTTCCTCTCTTCTCCTCTGTGTATATCTGACTTGATTGAGATGACACACACCAAAGCGGCTTGAATATTCAGGTATAACACGAAGGAATAAATTACGTCTTTAGTGCAAAGTCACTTCCAACATTACAAACAGAATTCTTTCAGGCTGGAGATCACATTTAATCCAAGGCCCGGTAAACAGACGCTCAGTAGCACAGTGGATAACTATGGCTACCTTTCCGAACTACACATGAAAGCCTCACACACACGAAAGGCCAGGTTCTTACCCTGAACGCAAAAGCTGCACATGCTGATAATGTGGCATAGCTGAGAAGCTTCTGTCTAACACAGGCAGACATCCCTGAAAGAGATGTCTCAGTACTTGGCCACAGAGACTCCCTAAAGACCAACGCGGACAGCAAACTCGTGGAGCAGCCTGGCCCCTTTCCCACCTGGAAAACAATCAGTTGCACAAAGTTTAGTCCCAGGACTGCCTGGACTTTGTTCTACCACCAACATCTAGGCTCAGCATGACTCCTGCCCTCTGCCTCCAGCTGGACATTTCAAACACGAAGAACTTCGAGTCAATAAGAAATGAGGCCCTAGGCCAAGGCCGGGGGGAACACACAGTGGCCAGTAGTAGCAGAAACACTGCAAAGAAACAACATACATCGAAGTATTTCTAAATATCTAAAATATCGAAATTGCTTTCCCAGAAGGAAATCTCAAATATTCTCAAGTTCAAAGCCACGTACACACGTACACTACTGAAGAGGCAGATTTTTGTCGCTCTAGGGAGGGCGCACTTTTCTCTTTGCTGCAGATTGTGGCTACAAAACCCCGGTTCCTCATCTGAGACCTCAAGACTGGTTGCTTTAAAAAAGACGTATCTTAGACGGACCGGGTCTGCAGACCCAGATGCATTTAAATTGCCAATGAACGGAAACCATTCATGAGAATGGGGCTTTTGAATGCTGAGAAAAATTCTTCAACACTCAGCACAGAGACATTTGGCAGGGGTGACTGTAAATATTTGCAAAACCCTCAGTAAATGGACAGTGTTTGACCATACTCAAACCTTACCTCCAACACAGTAGTGCAGGGGCAAGTTAGCTAGGGTGATCTACTCGGGAAGCCTTGGGTTGAATCTGCTTAATTTGAATCAAAAACCAAGGCACTCACTTCTACCACTGGACATCTTTTCCACTTTCACTATGCATTTTTGCCTTTTTTTCTTTTTCTTTTACTGATCAAGACAGTCACTTAGACAGAAGCTAAGTGAAACAGATTTTTTTTTTTTTTTTAGGTCTCCTTCCCATTTTTCTAAGTCTAGTCTCACTACAAAGAACAGAATGCCAAGCAAAGGTGTGCAAGGGCAGGGCCGGCGTTGTGTGGAACCACAACCTGGGATGTTTCATAAGACAATTATCTCCGAGTGGGTTTGGGGATCTGCTGTGGATGTCAATCTCTCTCTACTCCCATCTCCTCAAGGTAATTTTAGAAACTTATGTGACTGCTACCGGAGAAAAGGACTTAGGTCGAGAAGGAAAGAGAGAGAGCTGGGTGCAGGAGGGTGGTGGTGGACAGGAAGAACCTGCAGAGGAATCAGATGTGAAAGCGACTGGAGACAGGCTCCTGTTGGCGAAAGCTGTGGCAGCAGATACTTGAATTAACCAACAACTCAGCTAAAACTGGCTGGGCTCCTTTCGCCTCTGACCCACACCCTTAAACCTGAGTCATCCCAAAAGTTCACTTATTTCGCTCTTGGGCACAGACACCCCTCTTCTGCTGTTTAAGATACATTATCCTTCACTTCATAGCTCTCACCACTCCAAGAAACACCAAACCAAAAGAACACATGGAATTCAAACAGGAGCCCCAGCTACTGTTTGCACAAGATGCATGCGGCCAAAAAGAAATGAGGAACTGACCGTCTGCCGTGAAAGCATCAGGGAAAGAGAACATTTACCCAGAGAGCAGAGTTTATTTCATTTCTGGAAAATCTATAGTCTTTCAAAAGCTCATGTGTGGGGGGCAGGAGGAGGGCCTGGAATGCAAAGATCTTACTTGGGTACAAAATGTTTTGAAATCCACACATAATTTTTTTTTCCACAGTATGCATTTCCATGAAATTCTGGAGGTACCCCACAATAGAATCCCCCCCAAAACTGATAAGAAAGCGCAAAGTTACCCCAGAAGGGTTAAGTGAAAGATCTCCTTTCCCTGTTGAAATACCAGCCAGTTTCACTTTAACTTAAACTTGAGCATAGGATCAGAGTTTCACTCTGCTTTAACAGTAATTATCTGATAAAATAATCACTGCGCTGCATGGCCGAGCTCCCACGGTTAACCTAACATCTTATTCATAGCCATGTGTGTCAACATACTGCTATGCATTGCCAAATAACAGAAGGTAGACAACCTAAACCATGCCAACTTCTGGTCTCCCCTGAAGACATCGGGAGGTCTGGTCCAACCTTCAACCTAAAGACTCAATCCCTGCTATGGAGGCTGCTTTATTGGCAACAAAGCAAATTTCTTCTTACCTTTCCAAAGGCATCTATTTTTGAAACTTAACAGGTGTTGGAAGCATTCAGCATGGATTCAGCTCTGCCTGGCTTAAAGCAGTGGCAGAGAGCCTCAGTCCCTAAGCCCCCCGGTGGCCTGGCCACTCAGCCTCCAGGGTCCTTTTGCTCCTCTGGGTATCGCAGCTTGCAGCGCTCGCTCAACCTACCCGGCGGGAGGGTTTGTGTTCCCTTCGGTGGCGTCTCAGCAGCCCAGCTCGTGGGCGCCGCCAGCTCCGGCCGCTCGCACGCCGCGGAGGAGGGGCCGCTTCATTCTCTTCGGGGCTCCGGGCTCGGGGCTGACAGCTCTGCGCTCGGCCAGGACTTGCACCAGCGCTGGCGCTTCCAGACCGACGAGTCGGAGGAGGAGGAGGAGGAGGAGGAGGAGTGGTGGAGGAGGAGTCCCTACCCGCCCCTTTGCCTTGACGAGCAGCTGCGATGCCCGCGAACCTGGCAGAGTTGGCGTGCGGCGCAGCTCGCCAGCAGCGCCAGGAGCCCGGAGCCGCGCGTTTATTTATACAGGAAGCTCGGGCGCCGCACTTCCTACTTCCCATCTGGGTGGCACTTCAAGCCGCAGGTGATGGCCTTAACCCTGTCCGAGCCCGGCGGTGGCCAGAGACGCGATCCTCCTGGGGCGTCCGAAGCAACAACCTCCTTGCTGCCCAGGATGGGAATAAGGTGGCGTGGGGCTCACCTCGTGGCCGCCAGTGCTTGCTGCTTCCTCTGCACACATCTTCCCAGCCACCTTCTTCTCCCAGCTCCACAACTCCTTGAAGTCTCCTTTCTAACAGCTCAGGCCCGCCTTCTCACCACTCCAGAAAACTGTTTTTATAGCAACACTTCTGGCGCATGTTAAGGAGAAAAAAAGGGAGGGAGGGGGGAATTGACCTATCCTTTAGCGTCTAATGTTAAAATAAGAAAGCAAGTTGATCCAGCCAGGGCAACTCTGTTTACCACATAAAACACAGGCATGGTTTTCATGAAACACTGATTTGTTAGCGAAGGAGGGCTGGGGTGGGAGAATACACACTTCCTGCAGAACTGGTTGCAGAGAAAAAAATCATCAGAAAAGCCAGATGCTGCGAGGTACTATAACCTGCCTTCCTTAAAACCTGGGACACTTAATGTGTGTGATATTGTTAACAGATGAGGTACCTCCTCACTCTTCACACCCTCTCCCAGGCCCACGCCTCTGCAGCATTGCAATATCAACTGCCTGCACGCTGGCAGAAGGCTCTGGGCGTCCTCTGACTTCCCAGCACTGCTTCTCCAAGTCCTCTGTGGAAGAGACCTGTGCCTGCCAGCCCACCAAGAGTAGCAGGCACCGTTCCAAAGGACACAAGCAAAAATACTTCTCAGCTTTTGTTGAGGCAAACCTCTAGGTCACAGCCAAGGGCGGGAGCACAGAGTGTATCCAAGTGCGTGGTGCCAGCCCTGGTGGAGGAGATAAGCCTGCAGGAACACACAATCCAGACTCAAAGGAGTGACATCAAAGCATACGGGAGCTTGGGAAGTCCTTCTAGCTTTTAAAGCTCACATACCTCATTTCAAAGGTGAGGTTGATGTCCATGGTGATTTAGGGGTGATTTACAGGGTTAGCCCAAACCGGACGGGGGCAAAGCTGCAACAAGACCTGCCATTGTTCCATGAGAAAGGTGCATGTTAAGGAAAGCCACTCCCACATGACTCTAACTTCGATCTCAAGGAATTTTCTTACAGGAACCAGGAAAGATAAACAAAGCACCTTGGAAGTTAGTTTATTCATTAGTGGGGTGCAGATCTTCAGAGCTTTAAACCAAAGTTCAACTCAGAGTTCACTTTTGAAATTACCATGCAATGAAGTGATAATCTCTGGTCAGCAGGGATGGGGAGGAAAGCTCCTGCCGACATGAATGGAAACACAAGTTAAGCAACAACTACACTGCCTGTTGTCAGGGATATTTTCTGTACTCAGAGAGATTCCCAGCCATGCAAATCTATAAAAGCCACAGGTAAAATTTAATGATACTACATAAGCACGGGGGATGTTACAGAGTGATAGAACAGACTTTCAGATCTGTGTAAAGAGCCCATGCATGGCGTGAATAAACATTCAATCCATTCGAGCATTCACTGCTCTTCCATGAGAGCTGCACAAGAATAAGACGCAGGTAGGGTAAACACAGCTGCTGTCCTCAAAGATCCTGGAGTCCAGGGCAGGTGTCTAGTAAGCACAATGATGAGATGATGAGGACTAACAAGAGAGGCTGTGGCATGATGTACCACGGGAGCACAGGGCGATTCCAAGCAAGGGACTCAAAGCATCTGGAGATGGCTTCCTCGGGATGGAAAGATAAAGCTGAATCTTCAGGGAGATGAGTGGGGAAGGTAGGAAAGGCTGAACAGGCAGAAAGAGGGGTGCCAAGACAAACAACAAGAATTGAGGTGAGCAGATAGGTCTAGACTAAAAGAATGAGGGCTTGACCCAAATCAGTCATGAATGGGACAGGGTGGGAAAAAGGCAGAAAAAGTTAAAATGAAAAACAACAGGGGCAGGGATCTGGCCTACTTGGGGGTGCCCACATCCAATACCAGGTTGCTCTGGTTCAGGTTCTGGTTCTGTTTCCATTTCCAGCTTCCTGCTACTGTGCCTCCCCAGAAGGCAGCTGGCAATGGCTCCAGAAGCCAGGTCCTCATCACCCACAGAGGAGATCTGAACTGAGTTATAGGTTCCTGACTTCAGCTCAGCCCAGCCCGAGAAAAAAATAACATAACTAAACTAGAAAAAAATATTTTTTAAATAAATGGAAATGAACAATTGAAAAGAGATTTCAGAAACAGCACTTACGGGGCATGGTATCTAATTAGAAGGAATGACAGAGGAAGAACAGCCCAGGCCCGTGGCACTATAAGAGTGAAAATAAAGGAGACCGAGGCAAGGAATACGATAGTGGTTTCACGTAAATCCTGCAGAATTAGAGGGCTATCGGGAGGGCAGAATGGAAAACCTGCTTAGTGGGCTGTAAACAGAGAGAAGAGATATGACATGGCGGCCATTTGGGAATTGCTGTCATTTATGTGGTATCCATGGATGAAATTACCAAAACTTAGTTAACATGTTGTGGAGGAAGGAAGCCCAGAGCTTCAGATCTAGACAAATTCTACCATTCATTCATTGTTACACAATCTTAAGCAAGTTACTTAACCAAAACTCAACTTTCTCATCCACAAAATGGGAAAAACAAGGGCTGGCTGCATAACGCAGGGAGTTAAGCTATTGTGTGCCAACACCAGCTTCCCGTATCAGAGCCCCAGGTTAAGTCCTGGCTGCTCCACTTCTGACCCAGCTCACTGCTAAGGCACTGGGAAGGCCACAGAGAATGGCCCAAGTGCTTAGGTCCCTTCTATGTACACGGAAGAACCGGCTGGAGTTCCAGGCTCCTGGCTCCATCCTGGCCCAAACCCAACTGTTGTGGCCATTTGGGGAGAGAACCAACCAACAGAAGATCTTTCTTTTAGCTCTCTATCCATCTCTGTCATTCTGCCTTTCAAATAGATTAAATAGATGTATTTTAAAGGTGAGAGTAATTTCCATGCATCTCTTAGGTTGTCAGAAGCAAACGTGGGAAGTTAATAAAGTAGCCAGTACTGTGCATGATTTACAGACACACCTAGACTATTCAGGTCTTAAAAGTGGGACAGTAGGGGCCAGCACTATAGTGTAGTAAGCTAAGCCTCCACCTGCAGCACCGGCATCCCATATGGGTGCCAGTTTGCATCCTGGCTGCAATACTTCCCATCTAGCTCCTTTTTTTAAGGCCTGGGAAAGCAGCAGAAGATAATTCATGTCCTTGGGACTCTACAGCCACATGGGAGACCCAGAGGAAACTCCTGGGGTCTGGTTTCTGACTTCAGATTGGCTCAGCTCTGGCTGTTGCAGCCATTTGGGGAGTGAAACAGCAGTTGTACAATCGCTATCTCTGGGTCTCCTTCTCTTTGTAACTGCCTTTCAAATATGAGTAAAATCAATCCTAAAAGAAAAAGGAAAGTAGGGCAGTCAATGCCACCTTGCAGAACTGTGCAGTGTACAAGCTGCTCAAACGTACACTGTGGCCCTCGCTTGACACACAGTGGGGACGCCGTCAGTGCTATGCAACTGCAAAGCGAAGTGAAAAGGAGCAGAAGAGAAAGGTTCTGGAAAGTGAATCCAGAACAACACTATTTAAACGGTAGTAAGAAGTCCTACAATAAACCTAAGAAAGAATTGCTTCTTTTAAGCTGCAAAAATAAATAAATAAACGTAGCATCTGGTAACTCGGACTATGAGGTAAAATCCAGACACCACCATCAAAAACAAAATAAATAAATAAATAAATAAATAAACACATTTCATCTTTCTGAGCAAGGACATAGCAATTACAAATTGTTGACCAGAGATCGCAATCATGTTGGCCTTCATCATAATAGAAAATCATTTCCTGATCTGAATGACAGGCCTTCCTGAAGACAAGCCATACAAAGTCTTGACACTAAATATTAAGCAATCAAAACTCCATTAACCTTTAATCTACCTAAACTCAAATGCAAGCAAAAGCAAAATCAAGCCAAGGAACACGTAAGGATTCCTCTGTTTGTGAAGTGAAAATATCAAACTAGAAGATTCTATCTATGTGTAAGACATCCAGATAACAATATGTCATACTGCCCGTATGCAATATGCCATAGGTACATATTATTAAAAGCATTAGAGTCCTACATAATAAATGAATCAATAAGGAGATTTCTTTTGCAGAAGATTATTCTCTTTAATTAATGTAAAGAAGTCAAGATTCATCCTTGAGCTGACTCATCTGTTCTACCATAGTATATGAATTACTAACACCTATCTTGGAGTTGACATCTTAAGTACATCATGTGAGTTAAAAAAAATAATACACCTTTTTAAATGACCTGTTCAGTTAACAAACCACAGATTCAAACACAGGTATTGGGAAACCAACTTCTACAAGTAGTGCAATTCTTCCTGCACAGGGAAAGAAGTAAGACAAAGGGCATGAGGTTCTCATTTCCACACAGCTACAAATTTCATTTGCATCTTTCGTGACATCTAATGAGGTTCCTTTTACTCACCCTTTTGACACTTATTCAGGGCACTGTACACATTCACAATAAGACTATTAGAAAACAATATGATAGAAATTGAGCAAAAAAAATACATTTGGGGTGGCATGGCAAAGAAGAGTCATCTTCCAGTGTGTCAGACTTGACGCCAGCAGTTTGCCAAGGCTGAAGATGTGCTGTTTTAGCATCTGCTTCACACCAACAAGAAGCACCTCAACACTAGGCTAGAAGAGCTTTAAACTATCATTGTTATTATGCCATACGAAAGCCCACGTGGCAGGGCAGGGAGGGACGAGCCCGAAAGTAGGGCTGCTGAG